CCCTACGTTTGATTTTTTGGTGCGCAACGTCCCTACCTATCAAGTTTATTGTAGAAAACATCCCTACCTTTCATTTTTTGGCACAATACGTCCCTACCTTCTGCATTTCTTTGCACCGAACGTCCTTTGCACAAAAAATGAAAAAATGATAGAAAAATATAGACAAACAAGTTGAGGACTCTTAAATGTACTTCTTGCATTTGAAGACTCTGAACTTTCAAGAATTGAAAACATTGTTAAAAATTTTAATATTGAAAAACAAGAAACTATTATGATAATAGAATTAGAAGATGAAAAATTTAAAGATTCAGAACCTATTGTTAAAAATTTTGACGATCGTGACTCAAGCATTGACACCTCTAGTCTTGAACCCCCTCCCCCTCCACACTCTGTCGATCCAAAAAGAACTAAAATCATAAGAAACTAACCGATTCATGCATACCGTAGATGATTTTCGCAAAACATAGATGAACTAATAGGGAGAAGCTGACATTATTTGAATAAGTATCGATTTGAACAAACATATGGAGAGAAAAAGTACTCCTTAATAGCACGAATAAGTGATAACCTAATTAATGAGTTAGCGACCTTGGGGCGGTGATATGATACATGCACTTCAGAAGGAGGGANTTAATGAGTTAGCGACCTTGGGGAGCTGATATGATACATGCACTTCAGAAGGAGGGAACGAAGGCTAGCCAGCTCACTGACCTCTTAAGTTAAGTACACCTCTATTAGCAATTATTAATAATAATGTTATCGACGATGGCTGTGATAATTATCGACGCATTTTTTTTCTATGTTTTTTTTAAAAATTACAATCCCTCTTAAAATGATCCATTCTAAGTGATAAAGAAAGTTCCAACATTATTAAACACGTTCTATTCTTGTGAGTTGGGATGGGAGATATTCACTATCGTCCCCTCTCTCTCGCAAATTTCTTGACACTTAGACGTGCTGTAACTTGTGAAATATTTATGAGCCATTTGCAAAGTTAATAAACTCACACTCAGCACACCCACAGAGTTGAATCCCCACAAAAAAGAAAATAGCCAATAGTATCATATTTTTCTGGGTTGGGAATGAAAGATGCATTGATTTATTTTACGCATTTGCAATAGCGTAGAAAACAGGTGACAGGGACGAGGCATTCACAGGCCCATCAAATGAATAAGGACTTAATTATGCTCATCAAAAG